AGTGTGCGAGTGGCTTTTTCATTTCAAAAAAGGTAGGAAATGTCGATTAATGATATACTTCGTTGTGGATGCCCATCAACCTACCAAATGGTCAATAATGTCGATAAAATTCGTGTACTTGTGCTCGAAGACCACCTGATTCACCTGACCTCGCTCCATGTAACTTTTTTGTTTCCGTGAATGCAGAGAGACATGAAAAGACAGTGATTTGATGACATAGAAGAGGTGAAGAAAAAAACGAGAGAGGTGCTGTCAGCCATCCAAACAGATGAGTTTGAAAACTGTTTCCAAGAATGGAATCGCAGATTTGACAAATGTATTAAGTGTAATGGAGAGTACCTTGAAGCTAATAAGGTTGTTTTGTAAAAAGAAATAATAATAATAATTAATTAAATACATAACTTTGAGGGGGGAAAAATAATGATTTGGGGGGGGTACCATCTCGTATGTATTGTTACTTTGAATGGTTGCAGTTTAACCATTCTCTATCTGAAAATACAAAATGTTTCTTTTCTATTACTGTGGCACAATAAACCATTTTTTATATGTAATAATGGGCATGCACATGAGAATTTATGTAGATTTTAAACACCTAAGATCAAAATAATGGATTATACAAATCACCTAAAGGAGTATACATCAAATATTTTGAAATTTCCTGAATATTCCAAACCCTGGTGCCACAAAAATTCAATTTTATGTCTTCTTGGGCTTGTATCAAGCTGACATATATACTTTAGTTTTGGGGGTTTTTTTTGATACTTCAGTTTTTAGACGTAAAAAAAAAACAAACATTTTATTGAGGGCGCTTACAGCTCTTGTGACAATCCAGACATCAGTTGTATCAAGCACATGTGTACATGTTTCTGTCATTATTTTCTAGACACTTGTTTTCTATGGAGCCTTTGGTGTCAGCTCCTCTCCCCCTTTCCCCTCACCCAATATTTTAGGATAACTATCAAGAGTGAATTTTTGTTGCTGTCAATCATGCCCCATTCACATCTTGAGTTTTAATAGCTATCTCCAACCTACCACCCATTAATGATCCTAATAACAATAAGATTCTGTCCCTAAAGAGTCTTCAAAATCTGTGAACCAAATCAAACACAAAAACAAACAAAATAGTATATTTGCTAATATGTGGCAATAGCTATTTCACCTCTTTGCTGAGTTTGTATTTTTCTAAATATTGGTGAATTTGGGCATACATCTTATTTATTAACCACTTACCTATCTCTTCTGTAAGTAGTTTATATCCTGTGTCCAACTTTCTGTTGGATTCTTGTTCATTTGTTTATTGAGTTGACAAGACGCTGCATTGGGGAAATCTGCACAAGAACTCTTTCACGTGCTAAATAGAGCAAAGAAATCACTTTGAGGACTGAGGTGCACCTGTGCCGAGCCAGGGTGCTCTCCATCACCTCATATGCAAGTGAAAGGTGGACAACGAATAAAGAAGACACGAGAAGAATTAATCGTCTGAATTATAATATGGGTAAAGAATACCAAAAGCAGCACAGACGGCCAGAAGAACAAGCAAATCTGTCCTGGAAGGAGGACACACAGCCAGCTTGCTCTTTAGAAGCCAGGATAGTGAGACCGTCTCTGGTACTTTGTACATGACATCAGGAGAGACAAGTCCCAAGGAAAAAACATCATACTTGGTAAACTAGAGGGACAGCAAGAACAACAACAAGAACAACATTCCACCTTGACAAGGTGGAATGACATTGTAGCTGCAACAACGGGCTCAAACATCACAGTGGTGAGGATGGTGAAGGACCAGGCGTTGTTTCATTGTGTTGTACCTAACGTGACTATGAGTCAGAACCAGCTCACTCATATCTAGCAACAACATATATATAATTAGATAGTACTTTGGATATATTTTTAAGGTATTTGGCCTTGAAGATCTGACCTCGAAACTAGGGAGAAAGATGGGGCATTCTACTCTGGTAAAGAGTTACAGTCTAGGAAACTCATGGGAGCAACTCTACCCTGTCCTATAAGGTGGCTATGCATGACAGTGTTAGGTTTTTCTTATGTTGAGCTTTTGTTTGTTTGTTTTTTGGCTTTGAAAGACTTTTTTTTAATGAAGATTATATTAACAGGTCTATTGAGATATCATTTATGTATCACAAAATTAACCCACTGCACTTGGAAACCCACTTCAGTGATTTTAGTAAATTTATGGATTTGTGTCATTATCACCACAATCAAGTTGTAGAAGATGTTCCTCACCTCAAAGAACTCTTATTTTATAGTTTAATCCCATTCCCATTCTGAGCCTTAGATACCTAGTGATCTGCTTTCTATGTCCATAAATTGGCCTTTGCTAAGCATTTGTGTAACAAAATAGTATGAAAAGCAGTCTTTTGTGTCTGGCTTTTTTTAGTACCATGTTTTTGAAGTTCATCCATATTTGGCATATGTCAGCGAACATATCTCTCATTAAATTTTTTAATTTAATTTTTTGTTGTTGAACAATATTAATTACATGTTCATATGTGTTCACTAGCTGATAAATATTTTATTGTTCCTAGTCTGGGACTATTATGACGAATGCCCTGCCCATTTCAATATATCAACATTTCCATATATGTCTCTGTGAGGATGTATGCTCCTATTTTCCTTGGACAGGTTCCAAGTACTAGAATTGCTGTATCATATGGCAAAAGTATGTTTTATATTTTTGAAAAATTGTCCCAACTATGTTCCAAAATAATTCTAACATTTTACATTACTATCAGCAATATATCAAGGTTAAAAGGTCTTTTTTAAGCTTAAATCTATTTTGCACACTGATAATAATAATGACAACCTGTTTTGTGAATTTTATACTTCCCTTGTTTTGTTGGAGGAAAGGCATTTAGGATAGCACCTTTCCAGTGGCTTGAAACCCTCCCTTCATCTGAAAGTGAACACCAAATGCTTTCGCATTTCATTTAGACCCTTTTTATAGTGGATTTCAATAATAATGAACCATTAATAAAAATGAATTTATTAAAATAGAAGTAAAATATCGGTTAGCATATCATTGAGTTATGCTTCTTTTGAAGAGGTTCACTGGACAATACATAGTTCCTCATAAGCATGTCAAGTTCTAAATACCAACCAACAATACGATGGCTTGCTTTTTTATTATAATTAGGCTTGTAGTTGGCATAGACCATAGGGGAAGCCTAAAGCTTGTGGGCAACTCTAAACCCAGCCATTATGGTGCTGAGGAAGCACAGGTCATGGTGTAAAGGGGTTTAAGTCGGGATTGGTTTAACAACCTCACCTCACTGCCATGGAAACAATTCTAAGCCATAAAGACCCCGAAGGACAAGGTGGATCTGGTCCTAAGTGAGTTTCAGAGACTGTCACGCTTTATGGAAGCAGAGAGCCACGCGGAGAGGCTGGTGATGTGGAACCCAACTCATGACCAGTGGACCCCCTCGGGTTGTGTTTAGTAGTGAAAACATGGAACCTGCCAAAAAAGAGGTCGAGTGATTTGCTCTGATAAAAAAACATATCCCTCACCATTATCCAACCCAAACTCACTGTCATATTCAAGTGGATTCCAACTCTTAGAGACCGTACGACAGCATAGAACTGTTCCTTTGGCTTCCCAAAGCTGTCAATCGTTGGAGAAGCAGACAGCCTCACCTTTCTCCCATCGAGCAGCTGGTGGGTTGGAACTGCTGACTGTGGGTTATCAGCTCAGTGCATCACCCACTGCAGCACCACGATGCTCTGCGTCATTACACAAGCACTAAAATTATTCTTGGGTGGGGGACATGTAATGTGAGAAAACCATAATGCGCGGTGAAACATCCGGATACAATAGTATTCATACATTTTTAACAGTATTCTGCAAGAGAATTCAATAACAGTATTCCACAAGCAGTCGACAAGAGCATACAGTCTGCACAGGAAAGAAAGCCATCAAGATTATAATAGTGGTAGTACAAAATGATAACAAACGCCTTAGCATCTTTATACATGAGGCAGTGGGGTGAACATTTTACGTGTGATTTCACCTCCTCTCATCCCCATTTTATAGATGAAGAAGCAGGCACCGGAGGAAGGCAGATTTAAATCCAAGTCTGTCTGAAACCAGAGTCAATGCTCTTAAAATAATCTCGCCTCTCCTGAGGTTGGAGTTATGAGGGATGTCTGTTTTTTTATATATACTTTCCTGTCTTTTTTTTCCCCTCTTAGTATGTTTCAAATATATTTAATTCCTAGTTCTCCACACAAAACATTACCTATAAATCTGGGGGAGGATTTTTTTTTTTTAAGATGGTTTTCCTGCCTAATATTCAGCAAGAGGAAAAAAACGTTGAGCAAAAAGCATATGCTAAGGGCTGAGCAAATGCCTAAGTGGTGGGGGGTGGGGGGTTGCCCATCTTTTGATCTCCATGGCTCTCACTTGGGGAAGGTGTTCTCTAACAAAGGCCTGAACACGAAGCAGTAGGCTTTTAGTCGTTGTTGGCTGAATGGTGGGGACCAGAAACCAGAGACTGGAGGGCAGAACCCCCGCAGGTGGGTTAGAGGTTCCAGGACGACGACGAGGTAGCCCGAGAGGGGTGGGGTGGGTGGCGAGTTTGTGGTTGGAATTGGGCAGGAGGAAGGTGGCAGCCGCAGCTCCACGTCCACCCCGCCTCCGACGCCCTGATTCCTTGCATCCCGGCTCTGGCGGGAGCAGGCAGGTCTGGGCTTTGTGTCGAGTGGAGGTGCGTCAGGCGGCTCCCCGCGGCTCCGGGCGGCGGGGGGGCTCCCTTCCCCAGTCCCGGGCGCTGGCCGTGGTGCTGAAGTGCTCGCTCCGCGCCCAGGAGGCGGGCCCGGGCCGGCTGGGGGGGCGGAGCTCTCCGGAGCGCGGAGCTGGAAAGGGGTGGGGGGTGGGGGCGGAGGCAAGCTGGAGACCTGGGCGGGCCGGAGAGGAGCCGGAGACAGACTGGCCTCTGCCGAAGGGGACGCAGTCACCTGGACAGGCTTCCTGGGCAGAGGCCAAGGCTCCTCCCTTCGTGTCCTGCTCTCATTTTCTTCCCCAACACCCTGCTGAGGAGCGGCCTACTTCTAGGCCTCCATACACAAAGTCAACAACTGCGCCCCCTGGGTCCCCAGCCCAGGGCCTGCCGCCCTCACCATGGTGAAGCTGCTGCCTGCCCAGGAGGCAGCCAAGATCTACCATACCAACTACGTGCGGAACTCTCGAGCCATAGGTGTGATGTGGGGCACGCTCACCATCTGCTTCTCTGTGCTGGTCATGGCTCTCTTCATCCAACCCTACTGGATCGGTGACAGCGTTAACACACCCCAGGCAGGATACTTTGGCCTTTTCTCCTACTGTGTGGGCAACGTGCTGTCGTCTGAGCTTATCTGCAAAGGAGGTCCCCTGGACTTCTCCTCCATCCCCTCCAGAGCCTTCAAGACAGCAATGTTCTTCGTGGCCCTGGCCATGTTCCTCATCATCGGCTCCATCATTTGCTTCAGCCTGTTCTTCGTCTGCAACACGGCCACGGTCTACAAGATCTGCGCCTGGATGCAGCTGGCTGCAGGTGAGCAGGGATGGTGAAGGGCAGGCAGGGGCAGTGGGTCCCTAGAGACCTTTTGACCACGCTGCACATTTACAGACGTATAATGCCGAAGTGCTTTCGCAAGTCATCTTGAAGAGACTCGGTGAGGCTCTGAACAGATCATTTGACTTTGTGCACAAAATTCGGAGAGACAGAATCTTAGATTCCAAATCTTGTGCCCAGGCAGGTCTGGGCTTTGTGTTGAGTGGAGGTGCGTCAGGCGGCTCCCCGCGGCTCCGGGCGGGGGGTGGGCTCACTTCCCCAGTCCCAGGCGCTGGCCGCGGTGCTGAAGTGTTCGCTCTGCGCCCAGGAGGCGGGCCCGGGGCCCAGCTCTGAATCAGAGCCGCCCCTTTCCTGACCCTGACTGACTCTCCTGGGTACAAAGTGAGGCTGGTATTGGAGTGGGCCGTGGGAAGACTGGGCCATGCTAAGGAAGAAGAGGGAAGGAAGATTTAGCCGCTCTGACCCAAAGAGGAGTGGAATGGACTCTGGTCCTCCATAGTCAGGATCATGGACTATTAGAAACACCACCATCTCTCTCTCATTCTCCATTCTGTATCATTAAACACATTCCAGAAATTTTCCAACTAGGCTTCAGGGGGCCAAGAGATTCCACCATCATTGCAACACTCCTGTGAGTTCAGATGACTTCGTTCCTATGACAACACTCGGGAGAGCATTGCTCACCCAGTGGTCCTTAAGTCTGGTGGGATTTTCAAAAGAAATACTCACCGGAGATTCTGATCCAGTACATCCATGGCGATCTGAATGAATGAATAGAGAACTAGCTTTTCTTCAGGATTGAGGATGGCAGACCTTGAGTGTCCAGGAGCATGAGGTGCAGAAGGGGACAGGGATTGGGTTAGGAAGAACGAATTTGCCGGTCTCATCTGTTGGCTGGGGTATGCAAATGTGAGTCTGTGTAGATGAAGAATGAATGTGACATCAGGGTCTTGAAAAGACAAGCGTTGAGGTGTATGTGAGAGAAAGATGGCCGGAAGTGGAGGCCTTCCGATCGGGAGTTCTCCTTCTCCCTCGGTTATCATCTCTGTTGTGAACTTGTACCTTGTCTACTAATCTTTGTAGCTCCAGCACGGTGCCTGACACCTAGGATGGGCTCGGTCTTGAACCATTTGCTGAACAGGCATTGCTGGGAGGGTCTGGGTGAGGGAGGACCAACCAGCCATCTGAGTCCAGCTCCATCTGGGCCATAGAGCTGGAGACATTGATAGCAGAGGTGGCCAGGTGCCATCCTATGAAACATTCATGCTGGGGGATGGGGACGGTGGAATCGTGTTCCATTCGGTGGTGCTGGGGAAGAGAGGATGAGCCAAGGGGAGAGATGAGGTGGAGATGTGCCCACAGCCAGCAGCTGGCAGATACATCCATTCGGAGAGACCTAAACCCAGTGAGACAGATCTTTCCAGGAAAGTGGGACTAGAGAAGGGAGGGAGGGCAAAGGGAGAGTGGGCTGATGCCTGGGGCAGGATGAGGCTGCTGCTGAACAGCATTGATGGAACATCAAGATGCTAGCGCAGGTCCCACGTTAGAAACACCGGCGGGGCAAGCTGCTTGAATTCTATGAGCTTTGGGAAAACGAGCCTCTGTAGCATGAGGCATTAGGATCCCCTTTCACATGATTCATGAGCAAGGTATGACACAATGCGTGGGCAATGCTTGGCGCGGTGCCTAGTGCACAGCAGGTGCTTGGTAAATGTGTAAAAACACAAAAATTGAATTTATCAGTCAAGGTAGGGGAGGGGATGACACGCGAACAAACAACATCCCCCCTCACCCCCTAATCGTAGTGGTTTAAAACAAAGAATTGTTTCTTGCTCATGGCACTCACCCAGCGAGGGTCAGTGGATTCTCCCAGAACCCCCGTTTTTATAGATGAGGGAACCATAGCAAAGAAAGCTGGAGTATCTTGCTCTGAGCCACCCAGCTGGTCTGTGGAGAGCGACGCTTGAACTCCAGCAGCCTGCCCTGCTGTCCCCTAGCCTTTCTTACTGAGGGACTCAAATCACAAATTCCTGAGCCCAAGCCCAACCTTCTGAAACAGGGTCCTCTGGGAAGGTGCCTGGGAATCAGCATGTCAAACCAATGGTCCCCAGACACTTTTAAATTCAGGGACGTGTGACCCGACTGCGCTGTGCCATCCTGGATACAGGTGAAGGCGTCTGGTTGGCATGAGTGGAAGGATGGCCTGGTGTGGGGAAGAACCCTCCCTGCGCTGAGCAACTCCCTCTCCACCTGCGCCTCTGCCTGCTGCTCTCAGACACCAGTCCCCGAAGCCCTTGGCAGTCTCAGCCTTCTCACTCAGGCCCTGGAAGGAGGCTGGTAGGAGTTGTGCCTCTCAGGCTCCTGACACAAGGACAGGAGAGATGAGGGCCGACGGCAGTGAGCGCAGACTCAGGGAAGGGCCGTAGGTAGCAGGCTAGGCTCACCAGCCTAACACCAGGTGCGCCGTCTCTTGCCCTCTCAGCCACAGGTCTGATGATTGGCTGCCTGGTCTACCCCGATGGTTGGGACTCAAGTGAGGTACGGCGCATGTGCGGGGAGCAGACGGGCAAGTACACACTGGGTCACTGCACCATCCGCTGGGCCTTCATGCTGGCCATCCTCAGCATTGGCGACGCCCTCATCCTCTCCTTCCTGGCTTTCGTGCTGGGCTACCGGCAGGACAAGCTCCTCCCAGATGACTACAAGGCCGATGGAAATGGTAACGTGTCCCCAGGCTGGGGGTGAGGAGTTCCTCATAGCCAGACACCTGGAGACGTGGCCCCTGGCCAAAGGCTGGGGACCCCAAGATCAAGCAGACCCAGCCCGGTCCTACCAGAGGGTGAGGGTGAGTGGAGGGTTTTCCAGGAAGCATGAAGGGGTGCAAGATAGAGTGACCAAGGTTATCTGTGGTGGAGGGACGTCCCCTACCCCACTGTGCGCTCAGGTCTACTATAAGCCAAGTGTGGCCTCCCCTAGAAGAAGGCACTGGGGCTGTGTCTTGAAGCAAGCATGGTAGATTACTAAGCAGAGACAGGGTGCCTTGTGGGGAAGGAGCAGGCAAAGTTAGTGTGTGGTGGGCTGAAAAAATCAGTGAGTGCATACAAGTGACAGCCCTGAAGTGTAGATGATAGAGCCTGAGCGACCTTGATTCAGGCAGCCTAGAGGTTTCCCATATGCCCATCCTATTTCATACCCCTCTGATCTAAATCCTACCCACCTGTCATAATACTCACTTGTAGCTAGCCCTTCCTGGGAGCCTTCCCTGTCTGCTTCCCACGGACTGCCCTTCATCCTGGGGTTGTTCCTGCTCCTCTCTCTTTAGGCTTTATCCCTGTCTGCTGTGAGGGGCTCATTTTCACAGGGCTCAGGCCTGTGGCTTACTCCCATGAATTCCAAAACGCCTCCTCGCAGCAGGTAGCATCAGGGCCTCTTTGCTTCCTTTCCCCCACAGTGTCTTCACAGCAGCCCCCGGGCCTGCACTAGAAGCATCAAACTCCCCTACCCCTATCCATCCCAGACCGAAGGACTGGAAACTCAGAGGGCACCCACCAGACACGCAGAAGGGTGCCAACAAAGACTTGGGTCATCTGCTGCTCAGCCCAGGGCCCACTTGTCCACAGGGGAGAATCTGCGCCATCTCACCTTCATTTGGGGACAGGAGAGACTTCCATACCTAAGTTACTAGGCTAACGATGGAAAGCAAATCCCTGTACTAGAAAGAGCTGGACCAAGGAAGAGAGAAGAGGGTTATCTTTTTCCATTCCTGCAGCTCTCTCATCAAGGGAACTCTTAGGACCTGGGACTGGAACTCGCATTGACAGAGCCTCTTCAACCTGCATGGGTGATGTTGAAACCCTCACCACCACCACCACCACCCTAAATTTTTATTTCATCTTCTCAACACCATTGGTGTTCAGGAGAGGTTGGAGTTGGAATTCCATGGCAATCTGTACAAACAGCCCCCTCTCCTGTGACTGAGGTCTTCCAGAGGGCTCGGCAGGAGTGGCTGGAGATGCTCTGACTCATGGCCTCAAGGCAGGGCCACTTTAGACCCGGCTGGACATATTCACAAAGTGTGTTTATTCTAGTTTATACTCGTTTAGTAGGCTATGTACTGAACTGCTGACCACAAGGTCCACTTCGGAGGAATTAGCTACTGGAAACCTTATGGATAGCACCAGAACATTGTCAGATATGGAAAACCTTATGAATAACAGCAAACCGTGTCCAAGATAGAGCCAGAAGATGAGCCCCTCAGCTCGGAAGGCACGCAAGATATGACTGAGCAACTTGCTGATGGGACACGACTCAAACTGAGGAGAGCTGCAAACATCTATGAATAAGTGAAACTTGGAATGTTGGAAGTATGAAGCTTGGAAGATTGGAAGTCTTCAAAGATGACACAGAACACATAAAGGGCAACATACTGGGCATTAGTGAGCTGAACTGAACACGGCAAATGCTAGCCATTTCGAACCGGGCAGTCCTATGGCTCAGTATGTCAGAAATGCAAGAGGAATGGTGTCACCTTCATCATCACAAAGGACACCTCAACAGCAATATTGAAGTACATTGCTGTCTGTGATAGAATAGTCTCTTTTGTTGTTGTCGTCAAGTTGTGCCATCAAGCCCATCCACACTCGCAGTGACCCCATGCACAACAGAACCCCATATCCACTGCCCAGTCTGGTGCCCAAACCTCCCAAGTCTTCTTCTGTTTGTGCCCATGGTTGCAGCCACTGGGACCATCCATCTCATTAGAGTCTTCGTCTTGTACGCTGCTCCTCACATGTACCTTCTCCAAAGACGGATCTCTCCTGATAACACGTCCAAAGTACTTGAGACAAAATCTGACCCTCCTGGCCTCTCAGGAGTTCTCTGGCTGTACTTTTTCCAAGACAGGTCTGTTTGTTGTTTTGGCAGTCACGGTACTTTCAATATTCTTCCCCAACACCGTAGTTTAACTAGTGTTAAAGAAATTGAAGAATTCTACCAATGTCCTCAGTTTGAAATTGATCACACAGGCAATCAAGATGCAATGATAAGTACTGACAATTGAAATGTAAAAGTTGGAAGCAAAAAGGAAAAAACAATAGGAAAATATATTTGGAGATGGAAATGAAACGAGATCATTTGATAGAATTTTGCAAGACCAACAACTTCCTCACAAATACCTTTTTTAACATCCCTAACGGCAAATATATATGTAGACTTCTGCAAGTGTAATTGACAAAAATCACCTTGACTACATCTGTGGGAAGAGATCATGAAGAAGCTCAATATCAGCAGCTAAAATGAGGCCGGATTTGGATGAGGGGGTTAAAATAAAATGAGGCCAGGGGGCAACTGTGCAACAGATCATCAATTGCTCATATGTGTGTTTAGGTTGAAACTGAGGAAAACGAAAACAAGTCCACTTAAGAGCCAAATACGACCTTAACTCTATCCGACCTGAATTTTGAGAACATCTCAAGAACACTGTGTTAGTCCAGGTAGACTAGAGAAACAAACTCATAGACACTCATATGTGTATAAGAAAGAACTTTAAAAACAAGAGCAATTGTATACTGAGAAAACACCCCAGCCTAGTCTGATCAAGCCATTTATTTCCCTAGAGCCTCCAAATGAGGTCATCAAGCTGATACCTGATTGACAGGCTAACCTCCACCCCTTCACTCTTAATAGCCTCAATTTGACAACAGATTATGTTACTACCACAAACATATTTGATGCATTGAAGACTAACGACAGAAGACCTGATGAGCTGTGGAATGACATGACAAACATCAGACATGAAGAAAGCAAAAGGTCATTAAAAAAAGAGGAAAGGGCCTCCATTCAAGTACTCCCTCAAAGCAAGAATACTTTCTTCTATTAAATTGGCATTCTATGATGCTCACCTTCCCGACACAACCGCTGAAGACAAAGCGGGTGAATAAGCAAATGTGGTGAAGAAAGCTGATGGTGCCTGGCTATCAAAAAGTATAGTGTCTGGGGTCTTAAAGGCTTGAAGGTAATCAAGCGGCCATCAAGCTCAGAAGCAACAAAGCCCACATGGAAGAAGCACACCAGCCTATGCGATCACGAGGTGTCCAAGGGATCAGGTATAAGGCATCATCAGAACAAAAAATCTTACCATAGTGAATGATGCGGGGAGTGTGGAGTGGAGATCCAAAGCCCATTAGTAAGCCACTGGAGAACCCCTTGCAGAGGGGTCTCAGGGAGGAGACAAGCCAGTCAGGGGGCGATGTAGCAACGATGGAAAATACAACTTTCCTCTAGTTCCTAAATGTTTCCTCCCCGCTCCCACTATCATGATATGAATTCTACCTTGCAAGTCTGGCTAGACCAAAGGATGTACACTGGTACAGATAAGAACTGGAAATACAGGGAATCCATGGAGGATGATCCCTATAGGACCAGTGGTGTGAGTGGTGATACTGGGAGGGTAGAGGGAGAATGGGTTGGAAAGAAGGAACCGATTACAAGGAACTATATGTGACCTCCTCCCTGGGGGACGGACAACCGAAAAGTGGGTGAAGGGAGACGTCAGACAGGGCAAGATATGACAAAATAATAATTTATAATTATCAAGGGTTCATGAGGGAGGGGGGAGCAGGGAGGGAAGGGAAAAAATGAGGAGCTGATGGCAGGGGCTTAAGTGGAGAGCAAATGTTTTGAGAATGATGAGGGCAATGAATGTACAAATGCGTTTTACATAACTGATGTGTGTATGGATTGTGATAAGAGTTGTATGAGCCCCTAATAAAATGATTTTTAAAAAAAGAGGAAAGATCAACATGGATGTCAGAAGAGACTCTGAAACTTGCTCTTAATAATAGAGTAGCTAAGGCAAATGGAAGAAATGATGAAGTCAAAGAGCTGAAAAGAAAATCTACAAGGGCAGCTTGAGAAGAGAAAGTAAAACATTATAAGGAAATGTACAAAGACCCAGAGTTAGAAAACAAAGAAGGAAGAACAAGCACAGTAGATCTTAGGGAGAAAAAAAAAAAAAACAAAGAAAAAAATCATGCTTCAAGTTTCAAGATTGAAAGGTTATATGGGCAAAAAAATTGAACAATGCAGAAAGCATGAAGAAGCAGAAGAGGATACACAAAGCCACTGTGCCAAAAAGAACTGGTCGACACTTAACCATTTTGATAGGTAGCATATGATACAGAAGGAAGAAGTCCAAGCTGGAGCTCCACTGAAGGTATTAGCCAAAAACAAGGCTTCAGGAATTGATGGAATACCAATTGAAATGTTTCAACCGCTCATGAAGCACTGGAAGCACTACTTGTCTATGCCAAGAAAATTGGAAGACAGCTACCTGACCAACTAACTGGAAGAAATCCATATTTGTACCCATTCCAAAGAAAGGTGACCCAATAGAATGCATACATTATTGAACAATACCACTGATATTACATACAAGTAAAATGTTGCTGAATGACTGCAGCAGTGCATTGACAGAGAGCTGCTAGAAATCGAGGCCAGATTCAAAGGGGATGTTGACTAAGGGATATCATTGAGGGTGTCGGGTGGATCTGAGCTGAAAGTGGAGAATACCAGGAAGATGTTTACTTGTGTTTTATTGTCTAGGCAAAGGCATGTGACTGTGTGGACCATAACAAAGTATGGATATCCTTGAGAAGAATGGGAATTCCAGAGCACTTAATTGTGCTCATGGATCAACAGGGAGTTGTGTGAACAGAACAAGGGATTACTGCAGGTTTAAAATCCAGAAAGGTGTGCATCAGGGTTGTATCCTCTCGCTATACTTAGTCAATCTGTCTGCTGAGAAAAGAAAGAAGAATATGAAGAATGTGGCATCAGGATTGGAGAAAGGCATTTTGACCACCTACCACATGCAGATGTGAACCTTGTTTGCTGAAAGTGAGGAGGACTTGAAGCATTTGCTGATGAAAATCAAGGGTTGCAGCCTTCAGCATGGCTTACAGTTCAATCTAAAGAAAATAAAAATTGTCACTACATGTGACCTACAAAATAGGAAACATGATGCTAAATGGAGAAAAGATTCAAGTTGTCAAGGATTTCATCTTGTTTTGATCCATAATCAGTGCTCATGGAAGCAGCAGTCAAGAGATCAAACAATGAATTGTGTTAGGTAAATCTGCTGCATAAGACCTTTTTAAAGCGTTGAAAAGCAAGGATGTTACCTTGAGGACCAAGCAAGCCATGGTGTTTTCATTATATGCATATGAAAGTTGGACATTGAATAAGGAAAACTGAAGAATGAGTGCAGTTGAATTATGGTGCTTGCAAATAATATTGAAAGTACCATATACTGCCAAAAGAACAGGCAAATCCGTCTTGAAAGAAGTACACTCAAAACGCTCCTTAGAAGCAAGAGTGGCAAGACTTTGTCTCATGTACTTTGGACATGTTGTCAGGAGAGACCAGTCCCTGGAAAGGACATCTTGCTCGGTAAAGTAGAGGGCCAGTGAAAAAGAGGAAGACCCTTGTGGCAGTTACATAATCTCTGGTCAACTTTTGAAGGGGTGGAGGTTAGCTTGTTAATCAGGTCGCAGCTTGACCTGGAGGCCAGATACACACAGACACTCAGTTTGTCTTCCGGTTGACAAGCCATATGGAGACCTCCTGATGGAACCAGAGCCCTGGAGCTGGAGGACCCACATGGAGACCCACGCCAGCACTGAGATGCTTCCACCACCACTGCAGCCACAAGATTTTTCATCCACTGGCCTCTGATCTTCTTGCATTTGGCATCATTGTATGTGTTGCATGAGTCTGAAGAGGAAATTATAGACTGGTATTGGACATATGGGCTAATATCGGATTTTTGGACTTAACCTGGACTGGGCTGGGATGTTCTCTTACTGTACAATTACTTTTTGGTATAAAGTTCTCTGTTACACATGAGTGTCTGTGAATTTGTTTCTCTAGTCAACCAAGACCAACACAGCCCTTGATAAGATGAATTGACACAATGGGCTCAGCCATCAACCTTGTGAGGATGGTGCAGGACTGGGCGGTGTTTCGTTCGGTTGCACCTGGGATCGCTGTGCACCACAGATTAGATGATGTTGAACCGCAACAGATGCTAGAAGTGAGCAACCCCAAAATAAGATTAATAAAGCAACCCCTTTTAAGAAGAATAAAGTGCTTAGGGATAAATCTAGCCAAATAATTGCAAGACTCATACACTAAAAACTACAAACCAGCATTGAAAGAATACAAAGGTGTTATCTTGCCCACCCGCCAACAAGCAACAGCCACGGGGATCCAGCCCTGGGCGCAGACACTATTAGGCACAAGGGATATGAGAAAGCTGAAGCTGGAGTTCACAGGTTGACAAACATTACGACTAAGAAGTATTTGCTTTCATGAGACAGAAAGAGGACTGAGATAGTGATGCAGCTGGCAGTGGTGCACAGCAATCACCCTACAAGCGGGCCTTGGTTATAAACACTACGCTTTCTCTTTCCATTACAGAAGAAGTCTGAAGCAGATGAAGGGAGGATGGGTGAGTAATCCTATTGGGGGTGCCCTGGGGGTCTGCAGAGAGCTGCCTTACTGGAGCCATAGATGGGATGCTACGAGGAGCTGGGCTGCCGGGGCTGCAGTGGGCTGGCACGTAGGAAGCTTTTAGTTCTGTTTGTGTTCTGAGAAGTGGAAGAAGACCAGGGAGGAGAATCACTGAAAATAGGCAGGTAGCTAGTTCCATAAGCTCATCTCTTTGTGGGTCCTCGCAAATAATAATGATAGTATTAAAAACCAGATTCTTTTAAAAAGTCATTATTGTCATCTGAATCCCTATTTTCAGAAGGAGTTTTGAGTGACTTAGAAGAGACCCCCTAGAAAACCTAATAAGATAGAAAATAAAGTCAGAGAGAGGACAACAAATATTCCAGAAAATTGGGCTAATAGGCTTACTGTAAGAGTATTAAATGTAACTCTGGGCTTTCAGATTGGCTGAAGCAAAAAAAAAAAAAAAATCACAAGAAGTTAACCAGTTTAATTTCACGCCCCCCGCCCCCATAGTCTAGGTCACATATCACACACTTCCACAGTTCAGTCATATTTAAAAAGAGTTGTATATCATCACAATCAATTCCAGAACATCTTCCCCCTTCCTGTGATCATTATATGCTCCCCATTTCCCTTTAACCTCCCCCAACCACTGCCCCCAAATATCCCAAATAAGTCATGACACCAGTTACTGTCTCTGAACATCTGTCTATTCTGTCCTTCGTACACTGGGGAAGAAACAAACAAAATGAAAACAGCAAGTATATTTTAAAAGAAAGAAAAGACCAACAACAATATTAAAATAAACTAGAGAAAAAAAGCAGGAAATATTGAAAACTAGACCATTTCCCAAATGGGTCAAACAGGAGGTAAAATGAGCACATACCGCATTTTAACCTAATGACGTCTGCCGTAACCCAGTTCATAGTAGTCTCTGTCTGACAGCAAGCTTATTCGCATCCTCAACTGTGGCCGGAAGCTTAATCTATGCAGGGTCCCTGCAAATGAATTTTGGCCTCCTGCGGGCATCCATAGCCTTCTGAAAACTGGGCGTTCACAATTTAAGCTCTGATACCTTTCCCTCCTTCAGATCTGGACTTTGTTATCAGTCTTGGATCACACAGGCTGTTGTGCTTCTGCCATGTGGACTTAGATGCGTGCTTGTTTAAATACAAACCTTTGATAATCAGTTTTCATGTCTGGTCCAAACGGAAGCATAGCATGTAAATTTTCAAAAGAGTCTCTGATGTTTCTAAGGCCCAAGAACATCGAGGAACACATTTTTACAAAGAAACCCACAGCAGAACCACCTTCCTGGTTAATGTTGTTGCTGTTGGAGTGGAATTCTGATTCCGCGACCCCACAGGACAGGGCAGCACTGCTTCCGGGTTTCCAACATTGTAAATCCAGAGTGGATAGTAAGAATCTCCGATTTTTCAGTTCGCAGCCAAGTGCTGAAGCACTGCACCCCAATTGCTCCTTTCCCTAATATTACAAAACAAACCCACTGTCATTGAGTGGATTCTGACTCAGAGTGATCCTGTGTAAGGTTTCCAAAACTGTAAATCTTTAAGGAAGTAGTTGCTCATGAAGCAGATGGTGGGTTTGAACAGCTGACCTTGAAATACTCACCAGACAGTACCCCCAGGACCCCTTTTCCTTAAAATTAGCTGCCACTTATTCAGGCCCCACAGCAGACATTTGCAGGGGTAAGAGGGATTCTCTCCATTGAAAGTCTTTTTATTTTTGGAAAGTACCTTTCAATTTTTGAGCCCATGGATCTACTTTTTGAATCATTACAAATGAGCATTGCCCCCCATCACACACCCCAACTGGAAGATGCTTCTCAAACTTTGAAGTGAGGATCTTGTTCAGAGGCAGATCAGGACTCATTTAGGAGTGGGGGTTGGCAGGGGAGGCCTTTCTCCCCAGCTTCCTGTGGATGTGTTGGCTAGAACAGATGGGGGTCACACTTTGAGTAGCAAAGGATTTGAGCATAGACGTATTCTCTTGTTCTTACAAATGTTTATTTTAAAAGCTACACACTCCACAGCCCTGGTGTATCATGAATCCTAAACCAGACCTTGGTTATTAGATAAATCATAGTTAGTAACTATAGTTTTCTGCATCAGTTGGTATATTCCTAAGTTGAATTTCTGAATGGAAGGTGTATTAGTCTGGGTACTTTAGAGAAACAAATCCACAGAAACTCATATGTATAAGAAAGAGTTTTATATAAAGGGTAAGTGCACATCAAGAAAACATCCCAACGCTGCCCAAGCTCACAAGTCCAAAATTGACCCATTAACCCTTATGTCCAACACCAATCCTCAAAGTCCTCCTCCATCTCACAAAACACATGCAATGACGCCAACTGCAGGAGGAAAGCCGAGTCAGTGAATATATAAGCATCTCAGGATTGGCAGGGGTCTCCACACAGCCTGCCCCACACCCAAAGCTTTATCACGGTAGGTCCATGTGGCTTCTCCTCAGGGATGTCTTGCAGGAAGTGAGCCTTGGAAGCAAAAGCAGTTAACTGGCTAAGGCAACTGCACCCTGGTCTGACCATCACAAAGCAAGAGACCCGAGAACTCGAAAGGTGAGGCTCACTGAGCCATTTATCGCTCCGCCCTTCAATTAACCCCACGTGTTTATCGGCCAGGTTGGCACAATAAACTTTAACTACCTCAGAAGGGTAACTTTATTTCGTGTCCTTTCCCCCCTATTTTGGCACATTTTGAAGTTTTGAGTTTGTAGGAAGTTTGCACGTCAGGCTAATACTGAAGTCAAAATGTGAATATATATGAGAAAGTGGGGTTTTTTTATGTTGGTTTCTTAAAATGCCAAATTTTATAATCTTTTGTTGTTGTTTTATACTACAGGTTGTCTGTTGCCCAGATAATGGAAAAGTAGGGAATCTAATTCTTCAGAGATAATAACGTGTTCCTTCCAAGCTTCCTTGACCCTGGCTCCTATAACCTGGAAACTTCCCATTGTAGGATTCCAGTCTGCCGTCTCCTGAGACCAGATCTCTTCCTTGCATATGAGAACTCTCTTCCTGAAGCAGAACTGCAGTGACCCACATCAAGGACATTCAGAAAGGCTGAGTGGTATGACTGACTGGAGACCCAAGATCTCTGCCTGCCCCTCACACCCTAACCACCCCCCAACAGCCTAATAACCAGGGGCACACTCCTTTGAAGATGCACACAGAAACTCCATTCAGAAACTGTCCCAAATGCCGAGGTGGCTGTAAACCTGCTGAATCACCGCAGATTGAGGCTGAATCTTGCTTTCTCACATGTTATTTCTTTATTGCTGTTCATAGGGGCACGGAATGAACAGGCCATAGGAACCTAAATCCTTTCATATCCATGAGGAAGTCCAATAAAGATTGAATAGGTATAGGCTTGAGACTAAGTTGGTCTTAACTAGAAATCACATTGCCTCCCAGTGCTCACGCTGATCCAACTGTTGATCCAACTGAACTTAGCCCACTAGCAGCTTCAGAAAGTTACCTACACATTAAATTACAAGGATAAATATTTGTCAAAACCGGGATTTGGCACACGAAATGGTGAAAGCTTCTTCTGCCAACCTTCACAGGGAACTCAATTTTAGTCACACACTTCATTGTAGCAAATGCCAAGGCAGAGATAGGTTTTTTAAAAAATCATTTTATTGGGGGCTCGTACAACTCTATCACAATCCATACATCCATCTATTGTGTCAAGCACATCTGTACACGTTGCCATTATCATTTTAAAAACATTTGCTTTCTACTTGAACCCTTGGTATCAGCTCATTTTTACCCCTCCCTCCCCAACCACCCCCATCAGGAACCCTTGGTCATTTAAAAATTATTTTTTCATGTCTTACACTGACCGGTCTTCCTTAACCCACTTTTCTGTGGTCTGTGCCCCTGGAAAGAGGTTATATGTAGATCATTGTGACTGGCTCCCTTTCTCCCCCTTCCCCTCCTGGTATTACTACTCTCATTATTGGTCCTGAGGGGTGTATCTGTCCTGGATTCCAAGCTCTTATCTGTACCCTTGTATATGCTCTGGTCTAGTCAGATTTGTAAGGTAGAATTGGGGTCATGATAGTGGGGGTGGGGGTGGGGCCTGGGGAAGCATTAAAGACCTAGAGGAAAGTTGTATGTTTCATCAGTGCTATACTGCACGCTGAGAGATATGTTCTCAAGGCTGTCCCTGAGGGGGTGGGAGCATAGCTTTCTCAGTGAGCACAGAGCCTCCATAAGAGGCAGTTGTTATTCAGGAAGGTGGTGCTGGTGCGGTCTGTAGTGAATGATCCAGCTCACTGTCCATGGATGGTTCTTCAGTAAAGAGAATACCTAGGTGCTGCTTATACAGGTGGGGAGTGAGAAGTGCCGAACAAAACTGTACTGAATCACGTCCCCTGATCAAGCAGCAAGGCCACATGAACAGTGTTCTTCTTAGTCCTGTGGAGCCTGTTTCTAGCCAACGGCTTAGGAAAGTACTCTAGCACGCCATTGCTGGTGGTGTCATCTTGTCACTTGGTCCATAGTAGCCAGCTTTTCACAGCCTGGCACCTGCTGTTCTGTAAGCCTGAACAACATAATTGGGCTAGTTCTATGCCTTTGTGACTTTCTTCTACCTGTTCTTGTATTGTTCCTCCTAATTATACTTAAGACACACAAAGTTTTTTTCTACATGCTCCTCTACCGTCAAGATAGTTCTCATTGAAATGACAACCACACTGGTCCACAGAAGCTCCTGCTGGAAGATCAGACTACACGAGTGGGCATTTAGCAGCCATTATCCCAGTTCAGATATCTAGTAACTGATATATGTGAGCTCTTTCGAACTGTTTTACTTAAAAACAAAAAACTCTTCCTAATGGCACCTCATGTTGGACGTATGTAGAACACCAATAAAAATCAGCATTCTTCGGAGGAAGGCTCTTCTGCTTCTTCATCACTTCTGGCCTTGGGCTGGGTGTGAGATGGCTGTGGTGCTCAAACTTCATCAACGACGATGGTCCCTGGAAGAGATGGTTATGAGAGGTAGGCCCACTTGTGAGCAGTGGAAAAATGACCTGGAACGGACATCTTGACGTGCTTTCATTAACTTACAACCCCCTCGCCTACTGCTGCCTTGTAAACACTTTGACTCGGGTTCTAATTTCTCATGGGTTGGACTGAGGGCTTCCGCTCCTCCACAGCTCTTGGGTTTCTTCAGTTGTCACAAAGCCTCTCCATGGGGCTCCTCACACAGTAGCTTGCCTCCTCAGAGCAGGAGTCCGAGAGAGAAAGACAGAGCAACAAAGGGTGCAGGCAGAAGCCATAGGCACTTAGGAATCCAATCTCGGAAGTGTCCTCCCATCACTTTGACTCTGTTCTACTAGAAGAGTCACTAGGTCATGCCCACATTCAGGGTGACAATACTGTGGGGCTGTTGCTAGGGGTCACCGAGTCAGTTCTGACCCGCAGTGACCTGCCCCTATGCACAACAGAACGCCGCCTGGTCCTGCACTATCCTCACAATTGTTCCTGTGCTTGAGCCCAGGGTTGCCGCCAGTGTCAATCCACCTTGAAGAGCTTCCTCCTTTTCGCTGCCCCTCCACGTTACCAAGTACGAAGTCTCATGATCACTGCTTACTGCTTCTAAGGAGCATTCTGGCCATAGTTCTTCCAAGACAGATGTTTGTCCTTTGGGCAGTCCATGGTACTTTCAGTATTCTTCAGCAGCACCGCAACCCAAACTGATTCTTCTTTGTGGGGCAGGGGGTCATTAAATGTGCTCATAGCTAATTCTCCGAAGCAAACATTTATGAGATTGCTTTCTTGAGACAAAGCTTAGATTTTAGTAGCTTTACATGCCTATCAAGACTTTTTTTTTTAAACTTGTTTTTTTGTAGTAAATTAAGATAAAAGCAAGGTGCCCTGGTGGCATATTGAGCTGCTAATTACAAGGTCAGCAGTTTGGAACCAATTGCTCCTTGGGAGACAGAAGAGGCGTTCTCACTTCCATAGTCTCAGAAATCTACAGGGGCAGTTCTACCCCGTCCTGTAAGGTCGCTGAGTCAGAATCAACTTGATGGCCTTAAGTTTGAAACACAAAAGCAGAAAAGAATTGATTTTGTTTTTAAGACTGACCTTTCAGAAGCAGACAGTCCCCCCTGGTGCCTCTGGGTGGGTTTGAGGGCCTATTTTCTAGCACTTATGGAACGCTGGTGGTGCTTACTGCTGGGTCAATGTACTATTAACTGCAGGGTCGGGTGTTCAAAGTCACCAGCTGCTCTGCAGGAGAAAAATGAGCCTGTCTGCTTCCATAAGTACAGCCTCGGAAACAGCCGAGTCATAATCCACTCTGTAGCAGTGGGGTTTCCGGGTTAGTCTAGCATCTAACCATTGGAATTACCCAGGGTCTCCTGCTCCACTAAAACAACCGAAAGCCAAACCAATTACAACTCAAAACGACTCCATAGGGCAGACTGGACTGCCACATGTATCTCCCAGGGCAGCTCATGTGCTTGAACCTCTGACCCTTAGGTTAACGACAAAGTGCTCTACCCACTGCAACCAGGGGTCCCTGGGCCCATTAAAATAAACTTATTTCCAACATCAACCAAACGCTAGTGAATCAAAATAAATAAAACAGCCCACCAGAGCAAAGGATGCTGGCATGGCACAGACTAGCTCAAAATGGCAGGCAGCCAATACACTGCCCTAGTCATTTTGCCAGTTGCAAGGCAAGACTTGTGAAAGCATTAAAATGGGCAAAAATAGGGTCTGTTAGGACAAAAGGAAGATTCTGATACAAAATTAATTTGGGAGGCTATGAAATGAAGCTTTTAGAAACCCTTCTACCTTTACTAAAGTCCAAGTGGCACAACGGTTTGCAAACAGCTCATCTAAAGGTTCAACCCCCCTTAGTGGTGCCACAAAATAGCTTGCGGTTCTAACCCCCGGAGTTGCTTTGAGCAGGAATTGACTGATGAATTTGGTTTCTGACGCCATTACACGTGGCCACTAGGAGCTGCAATGGTCCTTTCGCAGCGAATGCACCTCAAAAACAAAAGTCATCCGGCGCAAAGCCCTTTTCAGGTCGGACTGCTCACTGCAAAACTGTGCTTCACACCCACCAGCTAGGTCCCCAGAGAAACATCCCTGATCTCCAACTTTCTAGCTTCTAAACTGGACTTACAAAACGCTATTTGCACAATAATTTACATACTTTAGCATGCATGCTGCTTTTAAAGTCTTCAGCATACAAATAAAGCTTAATCGGACTTCTGTTTTATTGCCTCAGTAATGTATCAGTATTTTGATGGCAGAGAGCTGCAAGTTACCAATGCCCTGCCATCTCCAAAGGCACCACGTGAGTTATCAAACAAAAAGGATCATTTAAGTTTTACTGGTGGCCAAAGGGCCCTACTTTCAGAGGGCACACAAGTTCGGTTTCTATTACCAATAAGTTGCCAATTTCCTTGACCCTAGCATGTTGCTCTTAAGAGTCTTTAGGCTCAAAACGTGGCACTAATGAAGCCTGGACCTGCCCTGGAATAACTATCGGTTTACCTGTAGACATTCATGTGGGGACAAGTTGAGGCACTGATGGGGTTGAAAGGAGGCCTGCACACTTTTCTTTCGTGATTGTGCTTTGCTTGCCTACAATAGCATTAAGGGTTTACTACGCATTTCTAAGTCATATGTTCAAACATCAAGATGGGATGGCTGAGTTTGTCAGTCAGGGAAACATGTTCAATTAATTCTTTTGGGGGGGTCAAGACTGAACACACTATGCTATGTCTTCAGGACTGCACCATTTAGGTTAACTAGAACAGGACTTTGTATGAACAGACACCACATATAAAATTGAGAAAACAATCAAGAGCTCGTGAAATATACTGATAAAATCACTAAAAGCAAGCTTGTCAATTTAAACCAATGGCGCACACACATTAGGAAGACTATTGTCAAAAAGTGTTCATGAGGAAATGATTTGGAACCCCCAGCCATTGCTGGCAGGGCTGCAAAATGACACACGTGTAACTCCACTCCTGGGTATATTTTAAGTTGGGGTTCCAACATACACCTATGTTCACTGAGTTATTTGCAATAGCCTAAAGGTAGATAACTCACATGTCCAACAGATAAAAAGTATATACACAAAATACAGTATTATTGGGCTGCAAAGGAAATGGATACATGCTATGGTATGAACCTCAAGGTCAAAGACAAAAATTGTATGATCTCTCTTGCATGAACAAAGAACAGAGACAAGTCTCTATTTGGAGTGTTGTAACACCGTTAATGAATTGTGATGGTTACAAAACGTGGCAAACATGTTACACCCAGGAGTATGCTTAAAACTGGTTAAAAAATTTTGGGGGGTACTTTACAACAATAAAACATTTTTTAAAGCCTCACTAGTAAGTAACCTGATTAAATTCAAACAAGATTACCCACCCCTTTTTTGGGGTTGCGATCAAACCATTAGGCAAAAAAATGGGTGAGATTACAAAAGACTCATTCAAACACTACTGGTCCACAGTAAAGACCATGCTCCAGATGAACAATTTATTTAAAAGCCTTAAAAATATGCACACTTTGGGCCAGCAATTGCATCCCTAAGAATTTATACCCAAAGAATAACTCAAACAAGTGTGAAAATCTGTGTATGAAACGATTCATCAAGCCAATGTCTTTATTTTTCCAAGTTACCTGCA